TGGAGGGTGGATCCAAAGAAAAATTGGGGAGAGGGCGGATGTGCGTCCACATCGCACTATACACAGCCCCGTGAAGCGCGAGCTGGGATCGCCCCAAACCCCGCCACCAATTAGAATTGCGGGTGGCATGGGCGAGGTAAGATGCATGGCGGCAATGGTAACATGATGTAGAGCAAAACGTATGTCCGTTTTCCTTCAGTACCGTATGGTCCGCGTGCAAGCTGTACGCCAGAAAGCAACGGGCGCGCACGCGTGCTCTTATTCGAGCGGGGGGAGGAGGAGTCAGAGGAGGAGGATGGAGAAGGGACGCTGTTCCCATCGATGCAGCAAGCTCCCCACCTTCTGGTTGCACGTCTTCACAAGGCTGCCATGACACGCGTGACACATGCCGCTGGCAAACCGTTCCAAGGCCTACCGTCGGCAGCCACTTCGCTTCGCATGAACTCAAGTTGGAGGAGAAAAGTGCGGGCGTGGGACGCTGTATTAGAAATCATGGAGACGATCAGTGAGGACGCGAACGTGTATTTAGCTCGACTGAATCTGGAAACCGCTCGGTGCCAGTCAGAGCTTGCACCCGTGAACGGTGACGCCTCCACTGCGGACACTGCCGCAAGCACGGACACTGACAGAAGCTTGGCCAGCAAGAGTCACGAGCAAGAGCGTCAGACCGACCTGCATCTGCAACGCTTTGCTCGGGACGCTCTCCAGAGCTCCATCGACGATGAGGACGTTACGAGACGGAAGTCTACCTCCACCTCGTCGTGCGCACTCCTCTGGAAGAGACCGCTACGGATCACGATGAGCTGCTGGGCGATCCCAGCGAAAGCGTGGGCAGCATTGTCGAAAGCAATCGAGCATGCGAATGAAGGCGAAGATAGACTCTCCGACTGCCGCGTCAACAGCAGCTCCGACAAGGTCAATGATTGCTACGCCGACGGCCGCACCGACAGCAGCAAAGGAGGTAAGGTCGCTGTCCGAGCTCGACATGCAGCTCGATGAGCACGACTTCGACACCATGGTCGACGAGCTGGCCACCATCCAGCTGGCCACGGGCTATGGCTAGCAGGCGCCAGCCTGACACGGTCGTCAAAATGCACTCGGCGAGGATGCGCTGACGGAGGCATGGATAAAGCTTCAACAATTCCAGCCTCACCATGCACAAATGCATCCAGGACGACTACATGGATGACCAGCCCAAGATCAAGGGCAAAGGGATCAAGGCTACGGTGACCCCTAAGCCACTGGCGAAGGCTCGGCCGCCCATCATTGCTCTTTACTGTCCAGAGTGCGGGATAGCCTTTAAGTTGCAGAGAAGGTTACCCATCGATCGTCATTCATGTGCGCAGATTGCTGCCTCACGTGCGCAGCGCAGCAACAAATACGAATGAGTTTGAGTCTGTCGCATGACGGTGCTTTGATGATCGTGTTTCGGCCTCCTCTCATCTTCCCCCTTTTCCTGCATGATCCTACATGCTGGCTCCAGGTGGAACGTGAATTGCTTCGAGTATTATGTGTGCTTGCGTGTGCGTCTTGTTGCGTTGGGCGTTGCGTGTATTGGAAGAGTGGAGGACCTCGCCCCTCGCACATCGCAGAATGCATGCGCAGAGGAGCCTCGAAAACATATGATGCATTTCCAGACTCTGCGCTCTGCCCTGCCAGTGGCGCAGTCCGACAGCCAGGAGCCAGTGCAGCAGCACGCCCACATGCAGCGCTCCGCCCCTTCCTAGCCGTCCCTCGCGTTCCTCCCTGCCTTGCTGCCCTGGGTGTCCAAAGGCTCCCAGTCGAGACAGACGGCAGGGAGAGAAAGGGGGAGGGGGGAACACGGAGAAACGCCGAGCAGCGCTGCCGCTGCCCTTCTGCTGCGTGCGTTTGGCCACACGGTGATCGACGCAGCATAACTTGACGTTTCAATTGCGTGTGCGTTTATGCAGAATAATGCCTGACTGGCGCGGTTTGGGGCCTGGTGGTAGGAGTTAACGAGTAAAGGTGGGGTGAGGAGCAAAGTATGCGCCGGGCAGAACGGGCACCCCATGCGGGATTGCGCTGCTCGTGATCACCCGACGAAAACTGAGCAGTTCTCTGGGATCGGCTTCTCATAATAGGTTCGCCCCTTCGTTCTGATGCTTCCGACTCTTCCGAGGAGGGGCGTGGGAACTCAATGGGCCGCCTCTCGCCCTGCTGTTGCGCAGTGGCCCGCCTCAGTCCCCTCCTGCTCCAGCGCCAGGAAGGAGAGCGGATGAGGGAAGGAGGGCGGAGGAAGAAGGGAAGGGGGAAGGGGAAGCAAAGGGGAGGAGGAGGAGGAGGGAGGCGGGGCGGAAACGGGAGGGAGGGGGGGAGGAGGGAGGGGAATGGAGGGCGGAGGAGGGGGGGCGAGGCTGAAAAGGCTGGAAAGGGCACAGGCAAGATGCCTCGCCGCGGCGCGGCTGGCCCGAGTCACGTGCCGAGAACAGCTCCCAGACGCAGGAGCGGCGACGAGGAACCCTAGGGGCCCCACCAGACAGGCGCACCCCTGCAACGGCCCTCCGAGGAGGGGAAGGCCGCGGCCATGGCCCCGCCACTCCTGCAGGGACGGACACCAACGGGCAGCCGAGCGCATCTAATTACAAAGGCCGCCCGCCCCAAAAACCTCGCGGGCCCGAACGGAGCAGCGCTCCCCAGGCTACACCCGGAGAACCGCCAGAACTTCGGCCCGAGCCCATGCAGCCACGCGTAGCTACTCGCCCTCGGCGGCTTGCACTGGCCGTCGGACTCGAGAACGACCCCAGCACGCATGACATCGTCCGCTCTTGCCCCACTCCTCCTGCTTCTTCCCCTCGATCCTCGCCTGCCCGGCAAAGGCGGGACAGAACTCCTCCACGGAGGAGGAGGAGGAGGAGGAGGAGGAGGAGGAGGAGGAGGAGGAGGAGGACCCGAGCCGCTCCATCGCCTCCGCCAGCGCGGCCTCGCGCGACCCTCGGAGCCAGGCTCGAGGCCGTCGACGGCCTGCGATAAAGGGAAATTAGGACACACAAATAAATACACACAAATAAAAATATTCCCCATATTTTCCCATATTTTCTGGGTTTTTGTCTTCCCCCCCACTTCCCATATTTTTGCATATTTTCCTGGGAGTCGACGATTAATTGTGTCTGCGTGTTTCTTTTCCCCCTGATGCGAGACCAGGCCGACATGGCCAGCCCTCCGCGTCGGCGAAGACGCCCGGCACCCCGACGCTGCCCTCCACGCACGGAGGCTCCGCAGCGGCAGCGCCTCCGGCGGCCCCAGGGGCACCCCGGGCCCGCCGGGCGGCTGCGGCAGCTCTGGCGGCGGCTCCGGCAGAGCCCTGGCGGGCTCGGCGGGGCGCCCGGCGACCTCGGCGGGGGGGCTCTTCACTGGCTCGGATGCCTCCCGCGCGGCGCCCCCAGAAGCGCTCCGGGCCAGCCGGGCGGCAGCGGGGGCCCCGGCGCTCTGCCTGCTCACGTCCAGGTCGTCGTCGTGCTCGAGCCGCCGCGCGGCGCGGCGGCAGTGCGCAGCAGCGGCCTCCCTAGCACGCGCTGCTTGGCTGGCCTCGACTGTGGCCCTCCAGATCCGCGTTGGCGCGTCGGCGACGGCGGACTGCACCCCCGGCCCCTGGACGGAGTCGGCGTCCTGTGTCGGCACCTCCGCGAGCTTGAAGATCTTGCTCTCCAAGCCCTCGTCCTCAGGTCACCCGCGCCATCGTCATCACATTGATCGGCCCAGGTATTCGCCCCGAGCGGCAGCGCCCGATTTCCTCCCACTGCGCTGCCTTAGGAAGGAGTCGAGGGAGAGGTGTGAAACGCGAGAGGGGGAGGGAGGGGGCATGGGTAAGAATGACACCCTGTCTGAATCCGAACGGGCCCAGATATTCAGGCCCAGAAGTGTTCAACCGAAGTCAAACCAGAACATATCATGACTCAATCTTCGGATTTTCTATGGCAGTATCTTCGGATGATGTTTGCACTCCCTGCGGCCCCAGACCCCGCGGTCAGACAGGCAAGTTTCGCCCAGGTGGCGCTGCGCCCTGCCGCTGAGGGGGGGCGCGGGGGAGGTGGGCGAGGGTGGACGGGGCCAAAAGCAACGTTTTGGGATGCGGAAGCAGGCGCTCGGCCCCGCCGGACTCCAGTTCCGCCTCGGCTTCCCTGGCCCTGCCGGGGGCCAGCGGGCGCAGGGCCGGGCAGGCGACCCCCTTGTCGACGATGCCGCCGTCGTCGTCGCCGTCGCCGCCCTCCCCGCTTCCTCCACCCCCTGGCCCCCGCCCCCCCCGGCACAATCGAGCCCCTGGCAACCAAGCAGCGTCGGTCGGGCACTCGAGCTGTCCAGGCGGCAGGGCGGCGCGGGGGGGCAGCGGAGCAGGGAAGGGGGCACCAGAGGGGCCACGACGGAGGGGTGGGTGGGGCGCAGGCGGTGGGGGGAGGAGGGGACGGGAAGCAGTGAATCCTCTGCTCTGACAGTTCACGACATGTTTTCCACTAGGGCTCCCAACTTCGCGCTTCGCGCTGCGCGAAGCGCGAATAACTTCGCGCTCTCGCGCCGCCCTCCCAAAGGGAGAATAGGAGGACGAGGAGGAGGGGGAGAAGGAACGAGGACCGCGAAGCGCGAAGCGCGAATAACTTCGCGCCCTCGAGGGAGCCCTTGGTTCACGACATGTTTTCCACGAGCACCGTATATCAACAGGTGCACTGGGCCGACCGATGCGGGCGACGGGTCCAGGCGGAATTTCGCACCTGCCCGCCGCCAGCGCATGCAACCGCGGAAAAAGTCGCGCGGGGGCGGCCCAGCACGTGGCCCGTCGGGGCTGGGGGAGCTCCTCCTCCTCCTCCTCCTCCTCCTCATCCGCTTCCTCCTCCTCTTCCTCTTCCTGCTCCCCCGTCGTGCTGTCCCGCATCCCTACTTCCCTTCCTCCGTTCTCCATCCGTGCCTGGGTCGCTCTCCCCCTCCTCCTGGCGACGCTCGGGGCACGGGTCGCGCCAGGCAGCAGCGGCGGCGCCCGGCCCCCCTAATTACGCCCGACGCGGCACAGACGGCGCTGCGGCGGCGGCGCCCGCCTCCTCCGAGAGGCCGGGCACATCTGGCGGCGCGCCCGACGACGTGCCGCAAGGCAGCGTCGCCCTGTGGCGGGCGGCCGCCTCGCGCACCGCGCGCCAGCCGGCGCCCGCGCTGCCGCCCGCCGCACATCCCGCGGCGCCGCCGGTCGTCTCCTCGGGCGCGCGGGCGGAGCCGCACCTGCTGCAGTACCGGTCCTCGGCCGTGAAGTAGGCGGCGCCGCAGCGGCACGCGCCGGCACGCGCCGGCGAGCCGCACATGTGGCAGAACCGGGACTCGGCCGCGAGGTAGGCGGCGCCACAGCGGCACGCGCCGAGGGGCGGCGGCGGCGCGAGGCCAGGGGCCGGCGCGGGCGGGGTGTCGCGGCCGCCCTTGCTGGAGAAGGCGGCCGCCAGGCTGGGGTTCTGCTCCAGGATGCCCTTCACACGCTCGTCCAGGCCAGCCAGGACCTGCAAGTTCACCTCCTTGTCCTTCTGGTTGGTCACGAAGTACTCCTCGAACCGGAGCGTCCGGGCCGCCTCCTCGGCCGACTTGTGCAGCCAGGCTCCGAAGAGGTAGTCGCGCAGGGCGGCTTGGCCGTCGCTGCCAGCGACGCCGTGCACCTGGGCACGGGTATCGAGACGAGAGGCCGGCGCAAGCCCGTCCTGTCGGGAGACTCTTCATGGGGGGGGATCCCATGGGGGGATAGGATCCCAGGGGGGGGATCCCATAGGATCCCCTGGGGATCCCATGGAGAGTCTCCCGATCCTGGGTGATCTGGCGCATCGACGTCCAGGCCTCCACGCTCGGCCAGAACCGCCGGTTGTAGTCGGCGTCGAACATGATGATCACCGTGCAGCCCAGGTAGAGGTCCGCCGGCCCCCTCGTGGGGCCACCAGGCTGCAGGCCCGTGATTCGCAGTTTCCTGTACCAGTCGTAGGTTGTAGTCCCACCAGCCCTTTGGGCGTGAGTGGTTTAGGGAGCTCTCTCTGTTCTCAACCCCCCTTCTTCCCCTTCGGGGAGGGGTTTACCCCTCCCCCTACCCCCTCCCCCTGGGCCTGGACAGGAACTCCGGGGTGTTCTCAGGGGGGTCTTTTTCGACCCCTGGGAGGGCCAAAAAACGACGACCCTCACGAGGATTCTGGCCCCGTCGGGGGGACACAGAAAAAAAAACCTCCTCGTCTGTGAAGCCAAAATCATTGATTTTACTACGGTTTTGGTCCCATTTTGGCCTTCTGAGGGGGCAGCGCTCCTCTTCCTTCTTCTCAAAATCATTGATTTTACGAAGGTTTTGGGCTCATTTTTTCCTTCTCAGGGGGTAGCGCTCATTTGCGCTTCTGAGAAGGTCGCAAGAAGCCCCCAAGAGGCCCGAAGATGCCCCCAGGAGGCTCCCAAGAGGCCTCCAAGAGGCTCCCAAGAGGCCCCCAAGAGGCCCCCAGAGGCTCCCAACAGGCACCCAAGAGGCTCCCACGAGGCCCGCAGAGCCCCCAAGAGGCTCCCAAGAGGCCCCCAAGAGGCTCCCAAGAGGCGCCCAAGAGGCCCCAAGAGGCCCCCAGAGGCTCCCAAGAGGCCCCACGAGGAGCCCGAACGACTCACACCAGGACGAGGGGCCCGAACGACTCACACCACGAAGAGCCCGAACGACTCACACCACAAGGAGAGGCCCGAACGACTCATACCAGGACGAGGCGCCCGACCGACTCACACCACGAGGAGCCCGAACGACTCACACCACGACGCGGGCCTCCAACGACTCACACCACGTGGAGCCCGAACGAGTCACACCAGGAGGAGGGCCAGCGCTCCTACAAGCCCTCCAAGAGGGCCCCCAGAGGTCCACCAGATGGCCCCAAGATTGCGCTTCTGAGAAGGTCGCAAGAAGCCCCCAAGAGGCCCCAAGATGCCCCCAGGAGGCTCCCAAGAGGCCTCCAAGAGGCTTCCAAGAGGCCCCCAAGAGGCCCCCAGAGGCTCCCAACAGGCACCCAAGAGGCTCCCACGAGGCCCGCAGAGCCCCCAAGAGGCTCCCAAGACGCCCCCAAGAGGCTCCCAAGAGGCGCCCAAGAGGCCCCAAGAGGCCCCCAAGAGGCTCCCAAGAGGCCCCACGAGGAGCCCGAACGACTCACACCAGGACGAGGGGCCCGAACGACTCACACCACGAAGAGCCCGAACGACTCACACCACAAGGAGAGGCCCGAACGACTCATACCAGGACGAGGCGCCCGACCGACTCACACCACGAGGAGCCCGAACGACTCACACCACGACGCGGGCCTCCAACGACTCACACCACGTGGAGCCCGAGCGAGTCACACCAGGAGGGGCAACGCTCATACAAGCCCTCCAAGAGGGCCCCCAGAGGTCCACCAGATGGCCCCAAGAGGTTCCCAGATGGCCCACAGGAGGTCCCCAGGAGGCACCACGAGGCCTCCATGAGGCCCCGAAGATACCCCCAAGAGGTTCCCAAGAGGCCCCAAGAGGCGCCGAATACTCCGCAAGAGGCCTCCGAGCGGCTTCCACAAGACATCTACTACTACTTGTTCTCCTACGATTACTACTACTTTTACTACTACTACTAGTACTACTCATACCCGTTTGACTACATCATCTCGTACTACTACAACTACCACTACTCTTACGACTACTACCAGATCTACTCGAACTACTATGAGTCCTACTACCACCAGAACTACTACCTACTACTACTACTACTACTACTACTACTACTACTACTACTACTACTACTACTACTACTACTACTACTACTACTACTACTACTACTACTACTACTACTACTACTACTACTACTACTACTACTACTACTACTACTACTACTACTACTACTACTACTACTACTACTACTACTACTACTACTACTACTACTACTACTACTACTACTACTACTACTACTACTACTACTACTACTACTACTACTACTACTACTACTACTACTACTACTACTACTACTACTACTACTACTACTACTACTACTACTACTACTACTACTACTACTACTACTACTACTACTACTACTACTACTACTACTACTACTACTACTACTACTACTACTACGACTACTACTACTACTACTACTACTACTACTACTACTACTACTAGTACTACTACCACTATCACTACTTATTACTACTACCACAACTTCCATATAGACCACTGCTCGAGTCACTGCCTCTCTTACTGGGGTAACTAGTGCGACGACGACGTTGCCGACAACGTTTGCTACTACCGCTGATACTGGAAATACCACTACTACTACTACTACCACTACGACTACTACTGCTACTACTCCCACTACTACTCGTACTACTACGACTACGACTACGACTACGACTACGACTACGACTACGACTACGACTACGACTACGACTACGACTACGACTACGACTACGACTACGACTACTACTACTACTACTAGTACTACTACTACTACTAGTACTACTACTACTACTACTACTACTACTACTACTACTACTACTACTACTACTACTACTAACTACTACTACTGTACTACTACTACTACGACTACTAGTACTACTAGTACTACTACTACTACTATTACTACTATTACTGCTACTACTACTAGTACTACTACTACTACTACTACTACTACTACTACTACTACCACTACCACTACTACTACTACTACTACTACTACTACTACTACTACTACTACTACTACTACTACTACTACTACTACTACTACTACTACTACTACTACTACTACTACTACTACTACTACTACTACTACTACTACTACTGCTACGACCACTACCAGTACTACAACTGATCCTACTGGTACTACTTCTACTACTACGACTAGGAGCCGAAGAGGAGGAAGAGGAAGAGGGAGAGAAGGCGATGGGAGGCAAGACAGAAGGCGGTCGTTCTCCAGTCCTACACGTAACCGACTCTGTCGACTCACACGACGGCGACGTCCTGGACAAGAATGCATGTGGTGTGCGTCGTTGGGGCCCGTCGCCCTGGTGTGAGTCGTTCGGGCCCTTCCTTGTGTGAGTCGTTCGGGCCCCTCGCCGAACGACTAACACATCGAGGAGGGGCCCGAACGACTCTGTCCAGGAGGGGGGACCCGAACTACTCACACCAGGAGGAGGGGCCCGAACGACTCACACCACGAACAGCCCGAACGACTCACACCACAAGGAGAGGCCCGAACGACTCATACCAGGACGAGGCGCCCGACCCATTCACACCACGAGGAGCTCGAACGACTCACGCCACGACGCGGGCCTCGAACGACTCACACCAGGACGAGGCGCCCGACCCATTCACACCACGGGGAGCCCGAACGACTCACACCACGTCGCGGGCCTCGAACGACTCACACCACGAGGAGCCCGAACGAGACACACCAGGAGGAGGGGCAGCCCTCATACAAGCCCATCCAAGAGGGCCCCCAGAGGTCCACCATATGGCCCCAAGAGGTCCCCATATGGCCCACAAGAGGTCCCCAGGAGGCACCGCGACGCCTCCATGAGGCCCCACAAATACCCCCAAGAGGCCCCCAAGAGGCCCCCAAGAGGCCCCAAGACGCCCCCAAGAAGCCCCCAAGAGGCCCCACGAGGAGCCCGAAAGACTCACACCAGGACGAGGGGCCCGAACGACTCACACCACGAAGAGCCCGAACGACTCGCACCGCAAGGAGGGGCCCGAACGACTCATACCAGGACGAGGCGCCCGACCGACTCACACCACGAGGAGCCCGAACGACTCACACCACGACGCGGGTCTCGAACGACCCACAACACGAGGAGCCCGAACGAGTCACACTAGGAGAAGCCAGCGCTCATACTACTACCAGTACTACCACTCATCCTACTGGTACTACTTCTACTACTACGACTAGGAGCCGAAGAGGAGGAAGAGGAGGAGGGAGAGAAGGCGATGGGAGGCAAGACAGAAGGCGGTCGTCCTCGAGTCCTACACGTAACCGACTCTGTCGACTCACGCGTCGGCGACGTCCTCGACCAGAATGCAGGTGGTGTGCGTCGTTGGGGCCCCTCGCCCTCGTGTGAGTCGTCCGGGCCCCTCGCCGAACGACTCACACATCGGTGTGGGTCGTTCGGGCCCCTCGCCGAACGACTCACAAATCGAGGAAGGGGCCCGAACGACTCTGTCCAGGAGGGGGGACCCGAACTACTCACACCAGGAGGAGAGCACCGAACGAATCCACTGCACCGTGCTAGCGGCCACACCCACCCATTATTGATGCAGGGGTGTCTCACAAGGTACTCCCAGTACTGGACGAGAGACTGTACAGCATCTCAGCCCACTGCCGGACACCCGAAGGAACCCCGCAATCACCAAGAATAAGAGGCAATAGCGGCGAGTACTCTAACCAGCACCATCACCTCAGCAGAATAACAAGCACCAGTACAGCATACAGAAACCAGTACCAGCGAACCCACGAACAGAAACTCAATTGAGGAAACATCTCGTCTCCCCACTCGCTCTCCCCAGTCGTCCAATCCACTGCATCCGAGGCAATAGCGGCGAGTACACTAACCAGCGCCATCACCTCAGCAGAATAACAAGCAGCAGTACAGAATACAGAAACCAGTACCAGCGAACCCACGAACAGAAATTCAATTGAGGAAACAGCTCGTCTCCCCACTCGCTCTCCCCAGTCGTCCAATCCACTGTATCCAAACGTCATCTCCCCAATGAACCATCACTGAGCACAGAGACCCGCACTCCCACCAGAACTCGGTAACCAGCACCATCACGGATTACACTAATCAACACCACAGAACCAAAGCACGAGAGACATTATACCATCTCATCCCAGTGCTGGACACCCGAAGGAACCCAGCAATCACCAAGAATAAGAAGCAATAGCGGCGAGTACAG